TTGTTTTTTGTTGAGGTTTATTCTTTGCATTCTGCCCCTTACATTCTCCTCTGAGGCTTCTTCCTGATGCAAAAATGACCCTGGATCAGTGGAGATTATGCCAATGGAGCAGGCTTTGTCAGATCCCACCAAATAGGAAAGCCTTTCAATAACCTCCCAAGAGCTGGACAACATGCCTGTTACCTTAGGTCCCAACTACAGGGCCCCATCACTATACCAGGCATAGGGGGAGGGGTATGAATCATTTTGGTCTCAGCAATTTTCGAAGACTTCCCATCTACTTAATTATGTTTGCTCATGATCCCATCAGAAAAGGAATCACCTATATGAAGGGAATGACAAGGCTTTGAAATATTAAAAGATTACTCCTTCTCTATTCACCATTACAGACACAGAGCTGAGTACCAGAAGCAAATCCGAAGAGGTAGGTATGTAGCTTCACTCAAGGCATTGCTCAGGTGCCATCAGCTATACCAGACCTTTCGTGGTCCCTCCAGTGGTTAGTACCTCCCTCAATTTAAATATTTTCTATTTGCTCTTTATATACTGTGTTTTGATTTACATATATATACATTGTTTCTCCTAGCAGGAAGTAAGTACCTTGAGCAGAGACTGTTTTAATTCGTCTTTGATCCCCCGTGCCTAGCAACCATGCTTCACAAAGGAAGCAACAAATCGATCAGTAATCAGTTAGTAAATGTATGCTCTGTGCAGGGATGATACTAGGCTGGGGATAACAAGACAGAAATGCAGCCATCTCCTTCCTCAAGAAAGTTCCCTTGGACAATGATGCGGTGGGAAATCAGAACCGTATATCAACACACATGAGGATAGGAGAAAAAATAAAATGCATGCAAAAGAAATCTAAAATGACTTTGTGAGAGAGATCGCTCACTAGCAGCTGGGGAGGGAGGAGAAGCAGGAAAAAGCACTTGGAGGAGGAAGCACTGAAGCCAAGTTTGGAGGGAGCTAAGATTCCAAGGCAAGGGTGAAGAGACAGAGCCTTCCAGGGATGGCAGGCAGCCTAAGCCTAAGGCAAGGAGGCAGCAAATGGAATGGCATGTGCCGGAAACAAAGCGTGGGCCAGTGTGGCTGGAACATGGTGTCAAGGAAGGAGAGGAACGTGGAGCAGCCTGGAATCTTCTTAGTACAGAGGCAAGGAACGTAGAGCTAATCAGGGCCCTTGGCAGGTGAGGATGTGTGCAGTGAGATGGAGATAAATTCATATAAACGTGCACACATGTGAACCTTATTTGAGCTATACATGTGTATGTAGAGTTCTATGAAAGTATGTTTGTAAATATAAATGCTTACGTATGCATACATAGTTGTGTATACAGCTATATGTGTATATATGCTCATATATATACAATATGTATATATTGTATGTATATGTATATATACATATGCGTGTGTTTTCATACATGTACATGTGTGCTCATATGTGTTGTTATATGTAAATATATATTTATTTGATATACACACATTCATATGACTGAAATTAAAGTTGGTTTTCCTGCCCTTGAGAGGCAGCCTGGTTTCATGGAAAAAGCAACGGATTTAAAGTCAGAGGATCCAGGTTGAAATGCTAGCTCTGCCTGCGTAACTTTGGACAGCTCACTTCCCTCTTTGGGTCTCAGTTTCTTCAACAGTAAAATGAGGACTTGGATTAGAAGCCCCACAAGGTCCCTTTCAGCTCTGGGTCTATTCCCCTAGAATCTCTCCAAGGATGGAGCCCAACCGTGCTGGCCAATCCTTATAAAACAACCCCCACCTTCATATTCCCAGTGCCCAGCAGAGTGCTTTACATTTACAGGTACTTAATAAATGCTTTTAGGATGAATTAAGAGGTTGTCTCACACATAGGCAAATACATTGTAAGATTCTTTTGCAGTAATGGAGAGGCCCAGCAAAAAGTATCCTAAGCCTTTGCCAGACACTCAAAGGCCCCCAGGCCAGTGTTATGGTTATTGCAAATCAGTCTCGCTCTCCACACCTTATCCTTTGACTTTGACTCCAAGCTAGTGCAAGCAGCAAATAGGCATGCAAGAATTGGGGGAAAGGAGGTCTATGGAGGGAGAAAAATTGCCTCCAATGTAGTATTTTTCAAGTGTCTCATGAGCCAAAGGTTCAGGTTTGCAGTTCCAGCAAACTATGTCTCCCCACAGCCCTAATGACACATCTGGAAACCCCTGCTGTTGGCATGAAAGAATTATGGATGGGGCCTCTGGAAAAATCTCATGCCAGAGAGCACTGTGGATTCTCAGCCATTCATGCTGAGCTTGGAATGCAACTATGGAGCAAAAGTTTCCAAAGCCTTTCCCCTTGAGAAGCTGCACAGATTCACAAGGAAGTTGCTACCCAGGGTGTGAATAGGAGTGTCAAGAGAAGTAAAGAAAGGGCAATGGGGAAGGGAAGGAATAAGAGAAGGGAAAAGAGAACGGAGAAGGAAGGGAGAAAGGAAGGGAAGAGGGAAGGGAAGGTGGAAGACAAGGGAGCAAGAGATGCGAGTGAGAGATTTAAACAAAAATGAACATAGCAAGAATGAAACATTTACCACGCGATTGGATTGCATGCAGGGGAACCCTCAATTTCTTCCACTAAGGAAGTGGACAATGGTGTTTTTCAGGAGATGCTGAGAAGGGAGGTATGGCCCAAAGGAAGGCAGTGAAGGACATGCACTATCCCTTAAGGGTAGGGACTCTGCGGTCTCTGTGAAGTGATTTAACATCCCCCTAGCACCTCATGTGAGGGCATGAACACAGAGGGAACACAATTAAACTTTATGAGGTTTAAAAGGCTCCTTTTATCCAAAGAGCTCAAGGCACTGTACAAATAACTCAACCGCCTACAGTAGAATACCTGCTCAGTGTCTCTGCATAAAACAACAGCAGCAGCACAACAAAAGAACGGGACTTAACAGAAAGGGACAAGGAGACACTTGTGTCCTCCCCCTGACCAGTTCCAGTTTTCTCCTGCCTTGCCAGCTCTGCCCAACACAGAATTATAGATTCTCAGAGTTGGAAGGGATCCCCAAATCACAGACTGAGGGCTAATAGGAACCCTAGGAGCCATTTAACTCAACCATTTTACTTTTGAAATTAAGGAAACTGAGGTCCAGAGAGATGAGGTGATGCCCACAGCTCATCACGTAGCCAAATGGTCGAGCCAGAATTGGAGCCCAGTTGTCTGACTGCATCTACTTTTCTTTCTAGCATAACATACAATTCTGGGTGGGAGCAGGGCATGCAAAGAGCACTGAGCTTGGAGCTAAAGGACACAAGCACATCCCTTTTCCTCTTATTTCCTCGTGACATTCCATTTCCCATCTCTGAGACCACACAGGCTCTCCTTCATGCCTGGGACACCCTACCTCCCAGCCTCCCTCCCTGCTCTTTTGAAACACAATTCAAATGATAATTGGAGAAGCCTTCTCCACCAGCTGAACTCCTTTAGACTTGTGCATAATGCCCGCAGGAACCTCTTTCTCCTCTGGTGAGATCAGAACAGCCTTGGTACTCACAACCTCTTCAGCACCCGCTGCCTCTGGAAGCTCTCTGATTGGAGGAAGGAGCAGAGAGTCCCTCCCCAAACCTCTACTTAAGGAAGGTACCCAAGCCAACCATCTCTTCTTTTCCAACCCAATTATATTCCTTTGGGTTTCTCCATCACGCCACCTGAGCCAGGTTCCTCCCCCACTTCCCCTTTTCAGCTTCCTTTCGTGTGTTAGATTAGATTTAAGTACGTTGAGGGCAGGGAATGTCTTTCTTTTTTGTATTTGTATACCCAGTGCTTAGAATAGTGACTGGCACATAATAGGCACTTACTAAACATTTATTTACAAATAAATATTTATTTGCAGATTTATTGACTGACTGGCCTTCAAGGTAAGGCTTTTCCTGTACCCCTTGAGCTAGTGCTTTACCCCAAATTACTTTGTGTCTATTTTATACAGCCTCGTATGTGTACAAGGTGTCTCCTCTCAGAGACTGTAAGCTCCTTGAGGGCAGGGGCCTTTTCATTTTTATTTGGGTATCTCCAGCAAGTAGCACAATGCTCAGCATATACTTGGTTCTTGGGAAATGCTTATTGATTGAGTTCATATCGCAGCACTGCTACTTATTACCTCTGAGACCTGGGCCAAATCACTTGACCTCTCTGTTTCTACAACTATATGCCATACTTTCCATGGTACTTGCTGGGTGCAACCTATAATTGCATCAAGTGCCTAAAGGAACTCGGAGGATCATGGGTTTCTGCTCAGTTACCCATTCCCCCTGTCCTGTCTCTCTAATAAACATAAAATGGGACCTCCAAGATAGGGATCCTTGACCTCACAGAGTGTCTCTAAAGATCATGTGAGGTACTTCACAAACCTTAAAGTACCATAGAAATATGCCAGTTTGTTATCACTGCAATTATTAGTAATATTGTTAGACTTTCAATCACTACATTCAGAGTATTACAACCAGAAAGCAAAACTCCAATTCTCTCTGCTCTGTTTCCAGGTAACTCTATCCATTACAGATTTTGATCAGGTTCCTCCCCTACTTAGGTCAGACACTATGAGCAGAGGGAGATGTCTCAGCTTTCTCCTCCAAATTGGGGTCAAGGGAAGGAGGAAAGTGCTTTTATGGAAGGCTGGGTTCATTTACTAATCATAGAAGCAGGTAGGCTATACCAGTGATTACTGAGGTAGTCATCATACCTTCAGAGGAAAGGTCCAGGTTACCATACTTTGGAAGTAAGAAATTAGATAGCCTTTGCCCTCCCCTACTGACTGCAAAATCTGTCTGTTTGTGAAAGTATGAACCAAGGAGATGAAAATGATTGGCCATTAGTGTATGTTGAATGGCCTGGAACTGTCAGTTCTTTGTGTCGGTTTCGTCCAGAATGTGAAAACTATGGAGAAACATTCCACTGATGAATTGTACACAAAAGCTACACAATCCTTACTTTAAGAACAAGTACACAAACACAATAAATGCTCTTCTACTTACAGAATATTCTATTGCAGAAATGGGGCAAGTCCCCAGGCTCCCGCGTCCCAGGCTTCTCTGAAATAAATGCACAGTGATTTAATTACTAAGAGACCCTCCGGCAGAGCTACTGTTACACAGCAAAAACAACACAGTACTCTCAAATTGTATCAAGCCCCCCTCCCTTCTTACAACCACCCCTATCCCACATAGGCTAGCCAGGGCTCAGCTGTCAATGGTCATGATTAAGACTTGCCTTTCTAGACTCACGTCACAAGGCAAACCCATTATGCCAGCCAGCCTGGGTGAGATCAGATCTTGGCTCTGACACTTATTACCTGTACGGCCTTAGGAATATTTCTTACCCTATGTGGGTCTCAGTTTCCTCAAATGTAAAATAAGAGGCTTGTACAAGACACCCTCTAAGGTTCATTATACCTTTAAATCAATGATCCTACCTGGTCCTCAAGTTTCCTTGCCTGTAAAATTAGTGGGTTGAACTCAATTTTCTAAAGGGTCCCTTTAACCTCTTAATCTTGGGCTCATATGTTTTGTGTTTTTATTGGCCTTTCTGCCTTTACTAATGGCATTACTTTTGGTCTGTTACATTTATCAATGGGGATATATTCCTAAGTTATCCAGAATTCAAAAACCAGTTAAAATATCACCTACTCCAGGAAGTCTGGCCTGATTTGCCTGTTATGGCCACCTCTCTATTTTCTAAACACATACATTTCTTAAAAGCTGCACCATTCTTTATTTGCAGGTTGAAGGAAGGGGGCTCAAACTTGTGATCTGATCTTTGTGGGGAGCTCCCACTGATAATGAGCTGAATGAATGAATGAACGAACAAGTGCAATCCACAGAGAAATCGACAGTCTTCCTGCCAGCCCTGCTCTCACCTCCCTTCCAAACATTTCCCCAAGTAGACAAATGAGTAGCCCTGCCCTGACTATTGCCTGATGAAAGGGCTAACAAACAATGGAACAGCCAAAAAGACAACCAGCCAGCATGAGGGAGAAACAGAGTCCAGGCAATCCGCTAACTAAGGACCTTGTTCAGCCTGTCAATGATCCCAAGTGGGCTGTATTTTAAGACCAAAACTCTTCCATAATGACAGCTCTGGAAAGAAATTTGAGATTCATTCTTGTGGAAATGGCCATGAGAAGAAGCTAAACTGAATAACCATAGGCAGATTAATTGGGGCAAAAACCCTGTAATGTGCTTATAAAATTATATGAAGATGAAAGGGAAGAGGATGGAATCATATGGGCTCCATAGAACATCATCTTATGTCCCAGTCCCTGAAGCACTAAGCTTCAATTACCATGAACATTTTGTCCTGCCCATCAACAAATATTAGTGGGAATAACATTATCAGGCCATTTTAAATGGTCCAATCCCTTTAGATCTCCCACCATAGTAACTGTCTGATTAATCCGTAGAAGGCGGGACTGGCCCGGGGCCGGCTGTGAGGTAGATGTCTATTGTCTACACATTTTCCTACTATACCTTCCTCTTTTATCATTTTGGTATTAAAAGGTGCCATTTTGGCAAAAATGGAAAAAAAAAGTATTGGATTTGGATTGAAAGGGGCTAGATTCAAATCCCAGCTCTGCCACTGACTATCTGTGTGACCCTGAGTCAGTCACTTCACTAGGCTTCAGTTTCATCATCTGAAAAACAAGGGGGTTGGATTAGATGACCTCTGTCATTCCTACTGGCTCTGTAGCTGTGCTACACTTGTGCTCTCTCTGGGCCTCATCTGGAATAATACTAGATGACTTCCAGGTTCCCTTCTGGTCTGCCCAATGTCTCTAACTCAATGGCATGTATTACCCTCGTCATCCCTACTCCCAATTAAGTGACCTCCTTAAGTCTCTATCCCCTTTGCCATCAAAGACCCCATTAGGAAAAGATAAGATAAAATTATTCATTTTGAGACTTTAATCCTTCATTGGATCTGTGATCTTGCAAATGTGGGCACTATACACAGATGGGCAAATCACAACCTATCCATGCCCTCTGATCCTATATGGCTCCTTTCCAAGTCATCTCATAAAAAGCCTTCTTGGGGCCCTATCCAGAGTTCAGGGACCTGCCCTCTAGATCTCTCCCACTCCAGTAACTCATTCACATTAAGACATTAGTGGACTGATAAGGCCAGCCCTGTTACATCTAAATGTTGTTTTCATTTTAACTTGGAGAAAAACTTTAAGGTAAAGAAGAAATCAGTCCTGACTAAATATTAGGAATGAATGCTAGAGAGCAGGGCTTCTTAATGCCATTTAAATCACTGTGGGTGGCTGGCTTCTTCAATGATGGGGTAAGTTTGGCCGTCTCTAAAGGGCTTCAACAAAAATCTTCCCATAGACATAACATCTGTGCTCACATCGAGTTTCATTTAGGTTTCTTTCTCTTCCCCCCAAATTTTAGATTTAATTGCACTCTGGCTTTAGATATTTCAATCAAGGTGCCTTTAAATCATTTCCCCATTACTGCCTCTCTACTTCCATGATCATAACCACCTCTACTGAACTGCTTCACTGTGCTATGATGATATAATAAATCAGCAAGTCAAGTTCCTTCAAGAAGGCACAGGATTTTAGTCTTGTCACATTGGTTGCTGGTCTTTCCCTAACTTAGAGCCATAGATTCAGTTCGAAAGGACCTGAGAGAGCAACTTTACAGACATTCAAGCACTAGAAGAAATTGAGTTCTTCATTTTATTTTCATTTTTCTCATTTATTTTATAATAGAGCTCATACAGAAGTGATCTTGACACAGGCTACTATCCTGATATTATTTCTTTGTATGTTTTAATCTTCTGTGGGTTATTGCAAAGTTCAATTGTTATCATGATCTAGATCAACTTCCTCATTTCATAAGTGAAAAAAACTGAGGTCCAGAGAAGTTATGGCCTGTCTAAGGTCACACAAGCCACTAATAATGAAGAGTACTTAGATCCAAACTTCAGTTCTCCGACTCAGATACCAGATTTTCCTTAATATGTCATGTTGATTGATGATTGAATTGTAGGTATTAAAGCAGGGAATCTCCCAAGAGGAGAAGAAAGACTCAAGTACAATGGATGGCTCTTCTCAGAAAGATCTATAAAAGACCCACATAGAAGAATCATATAGGATGAAAAGATTCAGTTGCCATTGCACCAACAGATGGAACACTGGAATCAGTGAGCTCCCAAATGCACTTTAGTATTGAAATATCCCAGAGAAGGGAGGGATATTGAGATGAAATGGTATAACTTCCTTTGGCCTGAATTATCCAAATAATTGTTCCAATCTGGCATTGAACTGCAATCAATCCATATAAATGAATGAATAAATGAATACATGCATACATATATACATACATAATATACATATAACATAATAGCCAGGCCAGTTAATGTACAATTGAGCCTCAGAATGGTCAGATTTATGAGATTTATAAGAATTAATTAGTAAGGCACTTTAGAACTTCATTATAGGAACAAAGACTGGACCTATGACTTCATTGGTAAAGAGATATCCTAGGAATCAAAACTCCTTCTACCAATGGGAAAATGGATTGCTAAGCTCTTTGAGTTCCACCTAATTACAAGGATATTCTCAAAGAGTAGGAAATGCTTTGGATGGACACCACCAATGTGCCTCCAGCTCAAGGGAGGGAGGAGAAGCATGAAAAGAAGTCAGAAGCAGAGTGGGAGGTAACTGAGTAGTGGTGGACAGATACCTGACCATTGACTAGCTCTTTTCAGCTTTATTTTTTATTTAATTAATTTATTTAATTCAGCCTCCTTTCTGCTATGGTAAGTAGACCATTGCTACTAATGACAGTTTCAAAGCAGAAATTGTTTGGAGGAGGAGGAGGAATGGCTATAATTTCTTGTCTAATTTCAAGTACTGTTGTTAAGATCAAATGGGAGCTAAAATAGTTAGAGTGGTTTATAAAATTTAGATTTCTATAGTAATGCTAGCTCCTAAGAATACCATGGTTTGCCATTACTCACTTTCTTAGCTGATGTGCTTGCCTCATAATTAAGCAAACAAAAAATTAAAGCTATTAAGCAAGAAATGCTTCTTTTCTCCTCCTCTTCATCTCACAACCCATTGGCATCATCCCTGACTATTTCCTTCTTTAACTAGTCACTAATAAAGAGGTAATCCTTCTCACCAAGGTCAACTACACTACAGCTATCTGTTCTTGCTCTCTTTCATTTTCTCTAAGAGATCACCCCATTTTGAATACTCTGCCTTTCTGTAATTATCAGTCTTTTTTTCCTATCTACTGGTTCCTTCTCTGCTGCCTACAAATATATTCAAGTCGCTCAAGAAAGAGAGAATCAAAGAAAGAAAAAAAGAAAGAAGAAAAGAAGGAAAGAAAGAGAAACAAAGAAACAATCAGAGAGAGAAGCAGAGAGAAAGAAAGAAAAACAAAGAAACAATAGGAAAGAAAGAAAGAGGAAGAGAGGGAGGGAGAAAGGAAGGAAGGAAAGAACAAAGGAAGGGAGAAAGGAAGGAAGAAGGAAGGAAAGAAGGAAGGAAGGAAGAAATCATTTCTTCACAACCTGGTTCCTACCCACCTTTTTCCTCACCATTACCCATTGGTCCCCTCCAGGTACTCTAAAATCCAACCATATTGGCCTTCTAGCCAGGGAGTATAGCATACTTCATCTTTCCTCTGTGTGTCTTTGCGCTGGCTTTCCCCTCTTTCTAAAATCCCCTTCCTTTTCACACCTGCCTCTTAGAATTGCTGATTTCCTTTAAAAAGACTCAAATCAAGTATCACCTTCTACACAAAACCACCCAGCTCCTAGTTTAGTCCCTCCCAAAGCTACCTTATAATATTCATTTTGTATATATGGGATATTCCAAATGTCTTAGTGCAGTTTTAAGCAATTGAAGCTGTACGTGTAGACCTCCACATTTCGACGTAGGTGTTTTATCACCCATTCAAACGTAAGTTTGAGGCCAAAAATACCATACTTTTGCCATTGTATTCCCAATGCTTAGAAGAATGCTGGGCATGGAGAAAGCAATTGATAAATGCTTGTTTATTAACTGATCCAGGAAAAA